ATCTACAAAAAATCTACAGCTAACACCATACTTAATGGTGAGAATCTTGAAGATTTCCCATTAAGATCTGGTACAAAGCAAGCTTGTCCCCTAAATCATATTGGAAGCCCTTGCTAATGCAATCAGACAAGACAAAAAAGCAAAGGAAGAAAAGAAACAACAATGATATATCACGACATACCTATTAAAATGGCCAAAATCCAAACACTAACACCAGCAAATGCTGACAAGGGTAGGGATTAGCATGAACTCTCATTCACTGCTGGTGAAAATACAAACTAGTACAGCCACTGGAGAAGATAGTGTGGGGTTTCTTAGAAAATGAAACATCTACCATAGGATCCAGCAAATCGAGCTGCTTATATGTACCTAAAGGGGTTGAAAATGTATGTCCAAACAAAAAAACCTACACATGGATATTTATAGTAGCTCTACTCGTAATTGGCAAAAAAGTGGAAGCAACCAAGATGCCCTTCAGTAGGTGAATGGATAAATAAAAACTGGTACATCCATTCAAGGAAATGGATTTAGCATTAAAAAGAAGTGAGCTTATCAAACCATGAAGAGACCTGGAGGGATCTTATTACTAAGTGGAAGAAGCCAACCTTAAAAGGCTACATACAATACTATTACAACTATATGATATTTTCAGAAAGCAGAACTATGGAGGCAGTAAAAAGATCAGGGGTTTCCATAGTTGGGCAGGAGTGGTGGGGGATGAACGGCAAATAGGCAGAGCACATAGGACTTTTATGGCAAACTCTGTATGATATAGTGATAGACATGTCATATACTTGTTGACACCTACAGAAGGTACAACATCAAAACTGAACACTACGGTAAACTATGGACTTTGGGCAATTATGATGTGTCATTGTATGTTTATCACTTGTAACAAATGCATTACTCCGGTAGTGCGAGGGCATGTGGAGTGTTGAAGATGGGGGAGGCTATGCATGTGAGGGGATAGGTGTATTTGGGAAATCTCTGTACCTTCTTCTCAATTTTATTGAAAAAAATTTTATTGAAAAAAAAAAAAGTCATTTAAAAAAACTCCAAACTTCCTGGACCTACATTCTCCGCTAGCTACTGTCCTGTTTGTTTTCTTTCACAGTACAACTGTTTTGTAACTTGTATTATGAAAACTTTCAAATATATGTATAAAAGTAGAACTACAAAATGAACCTGTATGTACTCTCCATACATATTTAAAAATTTTTAACTTTTGGTCATATTTTCTTCATTATTTTTTGCTTTAACACTTTAAAGCAAACATCAGACCTTATGACATTTCACTTATAAATATTTTAGCGCATCTAAGTGCATTTTCTTACATAACCATGATTACATCATCATACCTAATACAAGGAACAAAAATTCCTTACTGTCAACTAATATCCAGTTTAGATTCATATTTCCTCAATCATTCCCCAAATAGCTTATGCTGGTTTAGTTGAAAAACAATCCAAACAAGGTTCCTACATTGCATTGAATTTTTATTGTTTAAATAGAATTCAGTCTTAAATAAGTTCAATCTAGAACATATATTGTTTTTCTATGCCATGGTTGGTTGTCCTGTAAAATGCCCCATGCGTGCGTGCGTGCTAAGTCTCTTCAGATGGGTCTCTTTGTGACCCTATGGGCTATTGCATGCCAGGCTTCCCTGTCCACGGGATTCTCCAGCCCCATGCAGCGTAATTCCTAAGAGAACTCCACTTCCTCATCTGCCTTTTCCCCTTGAACTCTTCTAGTTGGGTTTCCTGCTCCCACATCCTGTGACGATAACTCCATGATATACATGTTACCACCGCCAACCGGGATGTCTCTTTCCTCACTTTTCTTGGTGTCTCAGAATCATTTGACAGCTGACCTTCCCTGCTTCTTTGAAACCCTCTCTTCTCTTGGCTTCTGGGATCCATATTCTCCTATATTTCCTCCCCCTTCAGGCATAGCTCTTCTTCAGTCTCTCTCTCTCTTTTTTTTGCTATGACTGACCTCTACATATTGGAGTGGTCACTATTTAGAGCTTCAGCTTGGGTCTCTTCTTTTCTACTGCCCTGTGTGCTTACCTAATCTCTTGTTATTGTTCAGTTTCTCAGTCATGTCTGGCTCTTTGTAACCCCATGAACTGTAGCATGCCAGGCTTCCCTGTTCTCACCACCTCCTGGAGCTTGCTCAAACTCATGTCCACTGAGTCAGTGATACCATCCAACTATCTCATCCTCTGTTACCCCCTTCTCCTCCTGCCTTCAATCCTTCCCAGACCTGAACTTACATTTAAATGTTTAACAAGTATCTCACAATTTAAGTTCTCAAAAACAGAATATATCTTTCCAACATTCTCTTCTCATGAATCCTCCTTTTGCCCCGTTCTTTCAAATTTCAGTACATACTACCATAAACTATCCAATTTATTAAACCTCAATTTTAGGAATCATTGTTGGTTTTTCTTTTTTTCCTTAACTCTCACTTTCAATCCTTTAGTAAGATTTATTGACTTTAAAACATACCCCAATCCTGCCCTCCTTTTTCTCTTTCCACAGATACCCAGGCCACTGGCACCTCCCTTCTTCTCTAGATTTATTTCTGCATTCCCAATTGGCTTTCCTGCTTCTATTTCTTCCTCCAATCACTTCCTCTTGCCAACAACAGCTGGAGTAAAAATCTTAAGGATGTAAATGAGAAAATGTTATCTTCTTGCGTATCCTCTCACTCCCCCCATAATGGTGCTTCTATCCAATCCATAATAAATCCAGGTTCATTACTCTGACCTACCTTTGTATCCTGGTATCCTATCTTTCTCATCCCCAGCCAAATTAAGCAGGAATCAGAATATTGGAGAACAGGAAAATCAACTGCACTGGCGAGGGTGGTGAGAGAACTTCACAAGGTCATCATGATGCTTCAGCTAAGCCCCTTCTGATACACACTCTTTAAATTGACAGATGTGTCTATTCATGCAGGGGCATAGATTGTCAGCTGCAGGTCACCACAGCAACATCAGGCTTGCTCTTTATCCTTTCTTAAAGGCATTGTTTCAAACAACAACAAAGACAATGCTCTTGTTCTCTCTTGGCTCCCAGTTTTCTTTTGTTTTTTACTTAACTCTTGAGTCTGTAATTATGTAATCATGTCATCATTTTGTGTGTTTCTATGTGCATCTCCTTTCTTCTCCATTGGTCTCTAAGCTCTGGGAAGACAGGGTTCATATCCATTCTGAGCACCATATGCTTGCAGTGTGTAACTCTTTGCCTGATACATAAATATTTTTGAATGAAAAAATGCACAAATATTGTCCTGTGTGACTCAATTGATGTCTTTGCTCTTATTGAGAATCCTGTGCCCATTTGTTCTTTAAGAACATGTACAAATCTGAAGTAGATGAAGGGATGGTATGTGTATGCCATATGAGGATCAGTGGAGATCATTTTGGGAGAAAATCTGAGAAAGACTACATCAGCTTTTCCTTTTCTCCTGAGAATATATGAAGATGTTCCACAAGTGGATACAAATGTCTATTCCAAATGGTCGTGAGTGGCCAAGAGCCAGGAGTTCTTTTGTTGTCACTCTTTATACAGACCTTGGGTCCATTGGAGTCATCAGAATCTGTGACTAATGACACTCTCTCATGGTTGGTTCATGCCAGGCTCACTGTAGTCCAAATTTTGTGTTTACCTTTCGTTTGCTTTCCTTTCTGTATTGGTCTATTAAATCCTTCAGTTCAGTTCAGTTCAGTCCCTCAGTTGTATCCAACTCTTTGTGACCCCATGAATCACAGCACACCATGCCTCCCTGTCCATCACAAACTCCCGGAGTTTACTCAAACTCATGTCCATCGAGTTGGTGATGCCATCCAGCCATCTCATCCTCTGTCATTAGGCATGCATAAAAGCATGTATTTTATTTGATTGTTTTTTAAGTTTATAGAAAGTGTGTCAAACTGCAATCTTCTGTATTGCCATTCTTTTCATGGCTGTATTATATTTCATTGAGTGGTTATAGGATGTTTATTCATCTGTTCTTCTGCTAATGGACATTTGGATCATTAATATTATACAATCCTTTTGAGCTTGTCCGTGGCCTCCAGAATTCAGTGAAGCCAATTTCTTTTAGGTTTTTAGGTAGTGAGAAATGTGCTAGTTTCTATGGAAGATGCCAAGAGGTGTAAGAAATATGACTGTCTTTTGGGGATTCACACCCTGGAGATAAGAGTCTGAGAGATCAGAATTTGCTAAATGCTACAAAGGCAGCTCACAGTAGAGTCAGAGAGGGGGGGAATAAGAGAGATTTTATGTAAAGTTCTGGGCAGTTTGAATGATGGATCAAGGTGAATGTGTATGAACTTGATAGGTAGTAAAAGGGGACAGTTGAAGAGAGAAAGTATTTCATGAGAGGGAATAATGTAGAGTACAGAGGTAGCAAAAGATACAGAGAATCTACAAGACAGTGATATCCTAGGGGCAAGTGAGAGAGTGGGGTGGTTAAAGCCTGAGTCACAGGACAGACAGAGGGTGCAATTCAGGAAGGAGAAGTTTATAAAGGAGGAAGAGAGGTAGGGTTTCAACCTTGAAAACTTTACAGGTTGGGAGGAAGAGTTGAGCTTTTATTCCAAATACAGTTGAGAATGACTGGAGGGCAGAGTTGACCACTTTGGAGGCTCTCCAGATACATCTGTGTGGTGCTTGAAGGGGTAGGTCTTGATGGGACTATATCCTCTTCAGGACCCCTTACAGTTATGCTAAGACAAGTGTGTATAGTAGCTGGGAGATGCTGTGGACATTCATTTTGCTTTTAGCTTTTTTACGCAACACTCTTCCTCGATACTTTCTATAGAATTTGCTGGTCTGCTAGGTGGCCAGTCTCTGTAGACAGAGACAATGATTTTTGAATGTTCTACATTAAGTCTAATGCAAGGTTTTTTTTCTCTTAAAATACTGCACATCTTAGCATATCTTGCTTTCTTTTAAAAATTTATTCCTTTATTTTTGGCTGTGCTGGGTTGTCATTGCTGCATGGGGTTTTCTCTAGCTGAGGATGGTAGGGGCTAATCTCGAGGTGCAGTGCTCAGGCTTCTCACTGTGGCTTCTCTTGCTGTGATCCGTAGGCTCTAGGGTGAGCAGATGTCAGCAGTCATGGGCTCAGTGGGTGTGGCTCCTGCGCGCTAGAAAACAGGCTCATTAGTCACAGTACTTGGGCTTAGTTGTCCCACGACATGTGGTTTCTTCCCAGATCAGGGATCGAACCCATGTCTCCTGCATTGGCAGATGGATTCTTTAACCACTGAGCCATCAGGAAAGCCCCTTAGAATGTCTTTTACCAAGATATTTTCCCATTTCATTTAGCTTATGCTTTCCAATTTCTCTTATCTTTTTTTTTCATGTTCTTTCTCAAGACTTTCTCAAGCATAATACAAAAGCTTTTATATACACATATTTGGCATATATTTTATATATATATATTAGAAAATTTGTGAATTTTTGCCTGACTAAAAAAAAAACAAAACACTTTTTTCCCCTAAAAACCATGATGCTGTTAAAGTGCTGCACTCAGTATGCCAGCAAATTTGGAAAACTCAGCAGTGGCCCCAGGACTGGAAAAGGTCAGTTCTCATTCCAATCCCGAAGAAAGGCAAAAACAAAGAAAGTTCAAACTACCACATAATTGCGCTCATCACACACATTAGCAAAGTAATGCTCAAAATTCTCCAAGCCAGGCTTCAACCGTGAACTTCCACATGTTCAAGCTGGATTTTGAAAAGGCAGAGGAACCAGAGATCAAATTGCCAACATCTGATAGATCATTGAAAAAGCAAGAGAGTTCCAGAAAAACATCTATTTCTGCTTTATTGACTATGCCAAAGCCTTTGACTGTGTGGATCACAATAAACTGTGGAAAATTCT